TGGCGAGTTCGGCACCAGAGAACCATTTTAGCAAAAAAAAAAATTTATTTGCGGGACTATTTTCAAATATATTCCATTTAAAGTTCTAAAATAATAAAAGAGGTGAGATACATAACTAAAAAAATAGTTTACCATTTTCTTATTTGTTTATCTCAACCACCCTTAAACATTTATAAAATAGAAAATAATTAAATATATTAACTCTTACTCCATATTATATCCTTTTACATCACCCAAATAAATAAATAAATAAATAAATATACATTTTTTCCATCACATCACTTAATTCTCAAATTATCTATGACATCACTTAATTCTCAAATTATCTATGCTTAATTGTTTAAAATTGAACTAGACTCTTATAATTCGGAATGCGGTTAAGCTATTAAATTTTTTGTGAAGTCACTAGGTTCTAGTCTAATTAGGGAAACAATTAATGAGGGTACCTTGATTGTCGAATAAATAAGGAATAGTTGGTTATTAGACGCAAGTCAATGATTATAATTATAACTAATCCTCTCACCTAAATTATCGTGCTGGAAACAAATGTTGCACTATGTTTGGAACAGATGAATATTTTTTATATTATCAATATATTTTTAAATATTGAATATAAAAAAATACATACATCCAAAAAGACAAAGTTAACAAACTCATGCATTCATTATTAGACATTATACATCCTACAATTGAATAAAATATTCTGAATTTGTTCGCTTTGTATTCTTTTAATAAATTTGTCTTTTAGGTTAGCCATGTGGAGTTATGACAATAAAATAAAAAATAATATTTTATATTGAATTGTTGATTTTTTTAAATTAGTAGAATATAAATATTAAATATATTGTATTAATATGTATATATATATTATATTTTTTAATAATACTTATGAAAAATTATGTGATATAAAAACATTATATCAACGAATTCTTTTATCTTTACACACTTGTATAGTATTTAGTTAGATATAAAATATTAGACAAATATAAAAATTATTCAAAATCACTAAAATAAAATAAATAGATAACTACTCGCGCGTTTCGTCAGAGTTGATAAGTTTTTCATTTTAATTTATTCGAAAATAATTGATATATTTTTATTTTTAGTAAATTTATCGATATTAAATATATTTAAAAAATATAAATTAAATTAATTATTAACATCTTATGTATAGGATTCGTTAAAAGCACTTTTATTTCTATCTCTTTCGCTAATCCCACTCAAAATTCCTTCACTTGTATCTCTTCAATTTCATTATATATTTTTTTATTTCTATATTTTTTATTTCTATATCTATCCTAAATATATAAATATTTTTTTTATCTATATTTACAACTCTATATTTTTTTATATGAAAATAAAAACCTTAGTCAATGTTAATCACAGATAAATAAAAAATAATTTTTTATGTAATTCAATTTTATAAAATTTTATTGTCTACAAAAATAATATTCATATTATATATATTTTATTGAGATACAATATTTAAAATATTTTAATATATATTTTAAATTTATTTTAATCATATATATTATTTTTATTTTAAAATATAAAAATAATAAATAATGTCATAAACTACTACCATTAACTTACTGAACTATATTTTTCTTAAATAAATTTGGTATTTATTTAGTATTTTTTGAGTGTTTGTTATTAGTCAATGAAAATTGTGAAAGTATCACGCACAATTATAATGAGTTTGTTCAATTATAATTTTATTTTTATTTTTATGAAATGATTTTTCATAAATATTATTTACAAAATACAATATATATTAACACAATACACATAAAATATATATTTTACTCACTCACAAAAAGTTAACAATTAAAAAAAATATATATTATTTTTTATATTATCAATATAATTTCTCATATGTAATGTAAAAATGCATTCATAAAAAAACAAAAAATGAACAAACTCAATCAGTCTGTTCACCAAGTATTTCTCAATGGAACAATTTCACATAAATATTATTAAAAGAAATAAAAATATGCATGCACATTAGTATACTATATATTATCCACTCATAAAAAATCAATCATTCAACAAAAAAAATATATATATATTTATATCACACAGTTCTCTGTACCACACACAAAAAATCAATTTATCTGAAAAAAATACTGAGTGTACAGACTAAATATTGTTTGCGTAATTTTATTATTATTATTTTTTTATTTTTAAATATTTTGTAACATTGTATTAGACTCTCTCCGTCTAATTAAGAAAATATATACATTTACTCTTAACACAATCATTAGAAACTATTGTATTTAAAATTTTAAATGATAGTTGGTAGATAGTTTTTGTTTGTAATGATATTTTTTACATTATATTTGGTTTCCTATAAATATATATTGTTCATATGAATGAAAAATATGGAGTATATACTAAATGCGAAATGCAGGTATTTAAAAGATAAAATAGTATTCATTCTCATGTCCTAGATCATGTGTTTTGGTTATTGTCTATACGAAAATTTAAGAATAGTGTAATTAGTAAATAATTAAAATATATTAATAAAAATAATAACCGTACAATAAAAATAATTACAAGTTAAAGATTAAAATAACTCATTGTCTAATTACAATTTAAAAAATTGTAAATTATAAAATTCAAAATATAATTAGAATGTCAAATCATTTCCCCAAGAAAACGTCAACGTGAACATAATATAGAGAGAATGTAAAATTTTAATAATTATCCTTTAACTTCTTTATACGATTAAATTTCAAATAAAGAGTTTAAAAATGGAGAAGAACATAACATTTTTATACATAGAAAATTTCGAAACAATACGATTTTTGCTTTTTTTTTTTTTTTTTGATTGGAATATTTGTTGCTTACGTTGTGTGGCCTAGTTGAATGACACTACCATCTATATTTCATTAATGGTTTAGATTACCTAGCCATTTATTTTGCGGTTTCAAACAACAATTTTTTTTATAATGTGGGAATCTGTACTCGCTATCCGAATGTGCGCTCGTGTGTTTGTTTGGGGGATTGAATTTAATTTCCACTATTCATCCTATTTTTTTTCCCCCAAAAAACATCAAATCAAACACCTATTTTTTATTTTTTATATTATACTAAAAATCAATTTTACATTCAAAACATCACATCAACACCTATTTATATCACATCATACAACTATTCAAATTCAAAAATTTTACTATTCAAATCCTAACTCAAAATTCAAACCCCCAAACAAACACAGTCGAATCTAATAACTTGTAAACTAGACTTCACAATCACTAACGTCATTAGGGCATCCCTAGCGGGACAAGAAAACGAATAGGGCTCTAACCTTTTCAAATCATGATACAAGAGGCCGTTGTTTATTATTATTATTGTTATTATTATTATTGTATTTGCAATTACACGAGAAACAATTGTTGATTATTATCATTATTACTTCTTCCTTCCTACATAATTTGTCTAATCTTATAATTATATTATATAGACAAATGCATAGATATAACTAAATATTTCCTTCGTCCCAAAAGATCGATTTTCTCTTTTTGTCGGTCCAACTAAAGATGATTCATTTCTAGTTTTAGTAAATTTATCAATTTTAAACACATGTAACAAATATACAACAATTTAATTAAATTTCTAACATCTTAACTTCTCCTCAATTAACAAATATATTTATTTACCTTTAAAAATTCTCATTTTTTTTTATAAAACTAATTTGTGGTAATGATAAATAAGTAAATATATTTTATATTTATTTCTATTATATAAAATTTTATTTTCTACATAATAAAATTCATATTTGATATATTTTTATTGAGATATAATGTTAAAAATATTTAAACACATATTTTAAAAAAAAATTAATCATTTTTATAAAACTAATTTGCATTATTTAAATAACTACTCTATACTACTTAAATTGTCTTGCTTAAACAAAAAACATTATTTTTGCCGAGACGGAGGGAGTATAATAAATTTGTGAAATTTTAAAATATTAATTTTTGTATTAATAATATATCTAAATTGATTTTCTTAATCTTATATTTTTTTAGATGTACTGAGGCTCTTTTTTTTTTTTGTGTTTTTTACATTATTCTTAATAAAATTTAAATCATATTTCTAAAAAGAAAATATAATATATATTTCTATAATATATCTTTTGCACAACAATAAAAAAAAAAAAAAAAAAAATCTTTTTATCCGGACAATGATAATGTTACAATTTCTCATAACATTTTGAAATTTTCAATAATTAATAAAAACTTATGTATTGTTATAGTTTTGAATTAAAATCAATATTATTACTATTGTACATTTTCAAATAAAAATATATCATTTTACGTTCCAAAATATTTTTTCCTCCGTCCTACATACCGTGTTCATCTTTTCATTTCTGTTTATTATGTCGTTTTCCTTTTTTGGAAAAGTATTATACACTTTAATCTAATTTTAAAACTTTTAATTTAATTTTTATTTAATTTTAATTATACTTATTAGTTATTTTAATATTAATATTGAATTTTTTTTATTAAATAATAATTATTTTTACTAATACATTTTTAATTATTTACTATTATATTTCTTCTAAATTTTAATGTATCTACAGTAAAAGAGAGAAAGGAGGGAGTATATCAAACTATTATATAAACAAAATCACAAATCAACCATTTACTTTAAATTAATTTCAAAGAACAACTAAATAAACTTTTAAAAATAACACAACACACAAGTGTCATTTTAACATTTATATTATTCCTAATTTTTTTAAAAAAAAAATTAAAAAATATACACTTTTACTCACATAAATAAAGATACTAGTATTATTCTATCTTTCAAAACATTTAAAACCAACAAAAATACATATTTTAACACAATTTTTACAATTCAGCATTATACTTTTATAATTTTGAATAAGTAATAAAAAATTCCAAAAATCATAAATAATAAAGTTGTTTTCATTTTGTAAATAAAGAAAGAAAGAAAGCAAAGTGAGGGAAAAGAAGAAGAAATTGGCGTACAGGATTGTAGAGCAGGAAGCCAAATTTGGGGGGCTGAGCTCCAGTAGGACCGGCGACGTGATCCTCTCTCTCATACAGAACCACCTCCGCCCCTCCTTCATTCGCCAGAACGTACGCCGCCGTCAGGCCGCTCACTCCGCCGCCCACCACCGCCACTTTCATTACACTCTGCGACATTCCTAATCAATTCGCTCTCACACATTTACAATCAAACTGCACAGCAATTGAAGCCCACATATATGTATGTATGTATATATATACATACATATGAGCTGGGCGTGAATCTCTGTTTGTTTGCTTGCTTGCTGTGTGGTTTTAGATTGAATTTTACTATTTTATTTTATTTTATTTTTCAAAATATTAAAATAAATATTTATTTATTATTTATTATATAATATTAAAAAATAATTTTTATATTAAAATATTACATAAATATTATTATCCTTAAAGCAATTTTTAAGTTCAACTAAGAGGTTTCACAAGGCAGCTCAGTCAAGTCCGAAGGTTTACCACTAATGAGAGTTGGACTAGCCCAAAAACCCGTCTCGGATGAGGTAAACCTAACTCCAATAAAGGAAGCATGGAGAAATGAGAAATTGATTATTAAAATAATGAAATAGAGAAAATTGAGGAATAAATTAAATTTACAGATATTTAAAAGAGCAAAAAATAGGAATGAACATCGTCCGTTAAAACATAAATTCCCCTTGCTTATTTTTTCCTATCTTATCCTATTCTTATTCTTGTTCCATTTCTTCGGTTTTTAATTATTGTAACCTAATTCTTTAATTTCAAAGACTCTCCCATTTTTTAGTATTTTTCATTCCCATAATTTATCTATTTAATTCTTAATGCAATTAGATTTAATTTCTAGAATTTTATTTGTGTTACTCTTCCTCCAATCGATTCAGTATACCTCAAGTTTTGCTACAAAAGATCAACTCCCGAGTTGTTTACCACATCCGATTCTACCTGGATGATTTCGTGCATTCAATTTCGTTGCGAGACCAGCCCGGATATTTTCTTGAGTAGATCGGGGAATTCAATTCTTATCGATTTCGACTGGCCTAGCTCCGTTGGGCCATCATCGACGAAAATTTCAGCGATAACAGATTGCCACGCCCAGTGGGACTTCAACGAGTATCGCATTTTTTATGCAACTCAGGAATCGCAAGTTACCATTGTTGAATAAAGCTATGATGTCGAAGGAAAAGAAAATCATTGGCGAAACTTCAGCGTTGCATGTTTCCGGAGAGATTATGTGCAAGAAGAATATTTTGCAGCTCCGGGAGGTACAAAAAGAATGGTGACAATCCTGGCTAGCATTTTACAGGATCAGATCCGGGAATAGATCCAAACGGCACTCCATGGGCCGGGGCTGGAGTTTTCTCGGTATGTTATTGATGTCTTAAAGCTCACCATCCCCGAATAATTCTCATGGATGAGGGGTGAGGAAACACATAAGGGCAAGGCGCTGGCAGCCAGCCCCGAAATGCTAGCAGTGACCTTCAGGAGAAGGCAACGTAGGGGGCATGGCGGGATCACTTCCGGTACCACTCCAATATGACAACGTGACCTGTCAAAGGAAATGGAGACAGGGACCTCCAAGACGAGGTTGTGGCTGAAGGACCTGGGCGGTCCTAGGAGTAGGCCATCTCAGAGCAGCCGCCATTCCAGCGACTTCCGGAATGATCGAAGGTATTCCATCAACCTCTCAATGGTACACTAAGCCCTTATTTGGTGGAATATATACTCATATATCGATTTCGGATCGCAATAACCAAGAAGTGAGCGTCGACGTTTGGGGGGCATGGCCGAACATGGCCCCGACACCTCCGGCCGTTCCTCCGACATCCGGAATCACTTGGGAGCAATCGTACCGCCCCTGAGTATACCCTTGGGGGAAGTCCTGCCTCCTTCGGGATCCTGGGGATCAATCCCTTCAGCCGTCACAGTAGTGGGGGAATCAAATGTACCGACTCCATCGATGCCGCCTCTGCATAGGAAACAAGAAGCATACCATGGGATGAATTTTCTTGAGGCATCCAGGCAGCTCCAAAATTATCTATCTCCAAATCAGAGGGTTTCGATACAATTCGGGTATCTTTCGGCTCTGACGGTGCCATGGATGACTTGGGAGGCAACTCTGACTTTTCCAAAAGCACCACCAACTCCACTGATGACTTGGGGCGAAGCTCCGATTCCTTTGGAAGCACCACTAGCTCCACGAATGTCTCGAGAGGCATATCTAGCAGCACATCTAGAGCCAATGGCACCACGAATGACCTAGGATGTACATCCGGTGTCACTTCTAGCTCTAGACATTACCCGAATGACAGTCCTGTTACCTCCGGAAGTGCATTCAGCTCTGAAAATTATCCGAAAGATAGACCCGACGATGCCGTCACCTCCGAGGGCAACAAGGAATCTATATTCACCACCCCCGCTACCTCTTGAAGCATCATCAGTGTCGGAAATGGCTTGGAAGGACTCTCTGGCTTCGAGAGGGTAAACTCTATCAAATCCGGACAAAATAACCCCAGATCTGGGCAGACCAGCACCAGCTCCCGTACGGCCCGCAGAACATGCAAAAATACCCTCACCACCACTGCCGATTATCGATCCACAGGTGATTGAAGAGACAGTCCGAAGAGTATACGACGACCCCGTTCGGCTACCCGCTATGCCGTAGTATCAACGATGATTCTCGGATCAGATCACCGTCAACCATCCTCCCTCTTGGAATGCTTAGACCCTGGAGTTCATGCTTTTTTTGGATGAGGATCCATAGTCAATGATTGAGCATGTCGATCAGTTCACAACACAGGGTAGAGGGGACTTCGGGGAAAACGAGTGGTACAAGCTCCAACTATTTTCGTTATCCCTCACCGGACCGACCTCACAGGGTATCCATCTCTCCCTCGTAATGCATTTCATACATGGGAAGACCTAGAAAGGACATTCCATGAGAGGTGTTACAATCTGTTTCCGAAAGTGACAGTATCCGACTTAACTAACCTACGCCAAAAACATAATGAGCCGGTAGGAAATTTTTTGGAAAGGTTTCGCAGGCCGGAAGGTCAATGTCAGGTGTGTATATCCGAAAACCAAGTCGTCGAAATGGTGGTCGACAACATGATGCCTCAACTTCGTGACAAATTGGCCCTTCAAGAGTATAACGATCTCCGACAGCTTTTCGGAAAGGCAGCCAAGGCGGAACAGCTTCTTTGGGACGTCAATGGCAAAGATCATTCATCGCATGCGTAGGAAAACAATTTCGATATTGAAGAAGGATCTAATCGGACCTCTGTGACCATCCAACCCTCTCATGCACCGATCAATACCGTCGTAGTATGTCCAATGAAATCTCACACATCAATAGCAAAGGCCAACAAAAATCAAAGGAACCATAGCTACACTTTTGCAGAAATCCGTTTTAAGAAAATAGAGAGATATGGAGGGTGGCATCAGTGGACCGAGTGTTAATAACCTTTCATCTAATTCGGCATTACAAGCAGCCCCCGAGGGATGCGCGTCAGACATGCAACCGGAGGAAGAAGAAGACGATAGTGCAAAGACGGAGGAAGCAACGTCGATGTCGAACAACTAGCTCCGGTCAAAAGGAGACGGGGCAGCAATAAAATGAGCTCCGAGCATGCCATACATGGACGAATTAGAATAAAAATGTTTCGGACAAGAGTGGGTTGCGACATTCACACCGGATCCAACAAGAGTGGAGCCAACATGAGTGATTTTGGACAACAAAGTTGTCACGGATGAACAACCTTCTCTAGATGATCCAAAAGTTCCAAATACGGAGGATGAACCTATGATTAGGGCTCTCGAAGATGATAGAATTTTAGAAGCCAGTCTCGACATCATAGCCATAGGTCAAGACTTGAATCAAGTCGTACTGTACGAAGACAACTTCAAGGTCGAGACGATTGGATTTTTACAAAGAAAATTGAGAATCTTTCATTCCAACTGCCGCATTCCCCAATAAATTTGACCCTGAGACGACTCGGACCAGCTTTCTGCCGTTGCCAGATGAGGTCATATGAAGCTAGATCCGAAGTACGGCCAAAATCTCATACGGAAATATTGGGCTTCAAAGTTTAACAAACTTTTTTGCCCAACTATTTTTGTGGGGGGCATTTGTTATCTCCAAACCAAATTTTAAGCCCAAATAAGAGGCCAGACAAGGCAGCCCAGTCCAATTAGGAAGCCCACCACGAATGAGAGTATGGACTAGTCCAAAAGCACATCTTAGATGAGATAGACCCAGCTCGGATAAAGGAAGCATAAGAGAAGTGGGAAATCGGTTCCTAAAATAATGGAAAGTTGAGACAATCCAGGAACAAAATAAATTCACAAGTATTTAAAGGAGGAAAAAAAATGAAAGATCATCATTTGTTATAACATAAATTCCCTCTTTCTTATTTTTTCTTATCTTATTTTATAATTGTTCATTTTCTTTGCATTTTAGTTATTGCAACCTAGTTCTTTAATTTCAGAAGTTATCTCCTGTTTTTTAGTATTTTTCATTCCTATAATCCATCTATTTAATTCTCAATGCAATTATATTTAATCTCTACATTTTTATCCGTCTTACTCTTCATCAATTCGATTCAATTTACGTCAAGTTTCACCACATAAGATCAGCTCCCCGAGTTGTTTACCACAACCGATTATACCTGGATCAGTTCGTGCGTTCAATTTTGTTGCAAGACGAACCAGATACTTTCTTGAGTACGCCAGAGATCCAATTCTTGTCGATTTTGACTGGCCTAGCTCCGTTGGGCCGTCATCAATGAAAATTTCAGCAAAAAAAATATATATTTATATCATTTCAAATAATTATTGCAATTCAAAATTTTATTGTTTAAAATTCAAACTAAAAATCCAAACTCTACAAACAAGCATACTGTTGCAGAAATTTCAGGAAATCAAAAAGAAAGAAAACAAATACACATGAACTTAAGAATATGGTAACCCAGTTCGATCAGAATGATTTACATTTGGGGGCGCAGCCAAGCCAGAAATTTTACTATAGAATAGGCAGACACCTGTTCAAGTGAGAATACATGGATATTTATAGCCTAAGCCTATGTCAATAATATCCAAATCATATATCTAAATCCAAGATATAATATCTAAATCATATATAAATCATATCCCTAGATTTTAGGATATAATCCGGCTTCATATCCCAACAATATCTCTTGAAGACTGATTGCATCTTTCACTTCAATATTTTACTTTATCGACAATGACAGCGCCAAACCTCATT